CGCCCAGCATCCTCACCGAGCGAGACTATCAGGAAGACGTTGATCAGCAGATTCTGTGGAATCTCGAACCAAGTCGACCTGAACCGGACACGACTGAGGGTCTTACCTCTTGACCGTATGTCCAGAGTTAACACCCACAGTCGTGTCCGGTTCAGGTCGACTTGGTTCGAGATCCCACAGAATCTGCTGATCAACGTCTTCTTGATAGTCTCGTTCGCTGCGGATGCTGGGGCGTGTCAGGTAGCTTGGGTTTGGCGCATCGCCAGCCCGTTTTCCAGCATTTGTTGTCGCTTGCCAACTTCAGCGAATGGTAGAGAACGACTGGTGCAGCATCCAGTCTTCTGCCCTAGCATCTGCAGCGAACAAGACTGTAGGTGCATAGAAAGGGAGAGGTCTATGTACTACAGTGAGGACGATACATGCTCCCATATTTCCACATTTATTTCATTAATTTTTCATATTTCCTTGGCTCCACCCTCCCATCGGTCAACTGTGTCTCCCTCCATTCTTTGCAAATCTGAATAGAAGTATGCTACGTGGTGATTCTGTGCAGATTTGAGGTTCCCGAAAATCCCCAAAAATGATTTATCAACACGACCGAGTTCTTCGTGTTCCCTACGAATCTCTCTCATGGTATCAACTGTGCACTGGTGCTATCACACCGTTTAATAGGGGAATTTCACGGGAATAATCGATTGGAGTGCATGCCCTTCAACTGCTATCACTTCCTTATTATTGAACGATATCCGAAGCGCGTTGGAGGCGCTATTCATGACTCACTTTTCTTACAGTTTTTCACATATTTTTTCACTTTTCGGGTTTTACAGCAATCAGCGTTTTTACAGCGTTTTTGTTTATTTGTCAGTTGGTGTTGGGTGACCAGCGTGATTTACGTTTGTGTGAACGTGCACTTCTGTAAACGTTTACTTTAAATCAAATCATTGATCATTTCCCAAACTAGACAAATAGCTTGCGTTCAGATCCATGACCACTTTTGAACCATTCAAAGGTACGCTCACCTCCAAAGATCCTGCTCCTTGCCATGTCGAGGTGAACGGTTCGCAGTGAGGTGAGCCATACTTGTTAACTCCGCGGCCCCAATCCGCGCCGAATATCGCAGGCTGGAACGCGTTACTAACTGTAGCCAGACCCAGCTGAATTGTGTCTACACCCTCTCACGTTGAGTTGTCCTCTACGTTGGCTGCCATAGGCATCCTGCAGTTCAAGTTGTTCGCTGCGGGACCTCGATATCGATGAACATGCTCCGCCGGGACACATTGTTGGGAATTCCCCAACAGGGAGGTCGTATTTAGTGGCTGGGAGAGGGGGGTTCCGTATTTAGGCTGCAGAAAATCTTTTATTTTGATAGCTTGATTGTTCTCGTTTTGCGTTTTCAGGTTACGTTGTGAAGTTACAGGTGTGCGTCCGTATTTTTGCCTCGAAATTGTATTGAGGGGGGTTATTTCCATTCTGGAGAGATGTTGCTGACATTTCCTGGGGTTTTTCCTGTTTCACATGCGCTATTTACCCCTTCTTCTCCCCCTACAACCCGCTCGACAGCAAATTTTTGGGTAAAAGTAGGAAAATTTTCGGAAAATTCCGGAAAAAGTGGTAGGAAGTGGGGGAAAATCTAAGGAATGGTGTAAAGGGGGTCGTCTTCCCTCCACGCCCGACGGCTCGATGAGAAGGGAACCAAGGGGGGGGGTCGTACGGACTCGACCAAAATTCCCAACTATTGATGTGCCCTGTGCCGAGTCCGAACGGTGTGCAGCTAAAACTCTCCAGCTTCATTCCCACTGGCTTTCGAGTACGAAAGTGCCACACTTGTGCACCTGCAAACTTGTCCACCTCACGCACGGCAAGGACCAGGATTCTTGAAGGAAACCTTATAGTGTATCCTTTACGGGATCGCCGTCCTTGTGGGCTGAGGAAACAATCCATGTTTCTTCTTACAGGCTGAGTTTGGCTCAGAAATACTCAGTGCTCATTGATGAGCCCGCTCTGAAAGACCAATATGCGCTCACCTCCTGGTCCTTGTCGTGCGCGAGATAAATGGGTCCGCAACTGCAGCAGCATACCGCTTTCTCTGTACAAACATGTGCGAGGCTGCAGAGGCAGTAACACCCGCTCGACGTTCCCGACTTCGTCCATGCTGCCGGACCATAGCCGAACGCGCCACCTGTCTGCGCCCTCCCTCACTTCTCGTTGTTCTCCGCCTCTGACTACATGTTCGCTGCGGGATTTCGGTATAGACGCGAACGCTGCAGCTTGACGATAACCGGGAGGAGTACGTAGAATAGTTCCCGTATATCCTTGAGTAAATAAAAAGGCACACTATGGCAGTTGCGGAGTCTTTAACCTCGCGCATAGAAGTGCCGGCTTTGGAGGTGAACGTACAGTCTGTCCTTGAACTGGTTCGCCCTCTGGTTTCTACCTGGTCACCATCCTTTCTTTGGAATACGGATTCGAATGAGTGTTCCATCCCATTTCATCCTAGCGTAAATATGAATTTTACATGTAACAAATATCGCGTTGAACTCGTCCTTACCAGTATAAGCGTAATTTTGCTGAAATTTGAATTTCAGATATCATTTTCTATGGCTGAGGAAGGAAGGGAAGGTGGCAATTGTGGGAAGGTTAGTTCCAGTTGGAGTACACAAACTTTCAGCAAGAGACTCGCGTAGGCCGCTCACGCAACAACACTTGTAGCGCCGTTCTTACCGCGCCGTCGCAACACGAATTTCTTGGCCGGCGCCTTAGTTGGGGGGATTGAAGTGTGGATGCAGACGCATAAATCATTCTGTACTTTGTATTCCCTACGAATCTGAGATACATCCCGAAATTTGCAGTGGACTGATAGGATCATGCTGGGCTACTCTGTTCGTCAGTGCGGGTTACTCTGTTTGTCTCTACGATATTTCGGAGGCTCAACTTGATTTAGCCAAGAAGACCGTTTTGCACAAACTGGAACAGCTTCAGGTAAGCGAACACTTTCTAGCGTAACTGTTCGAGGACCCTCTATATGCCTATGTGGTTGTTCTCACCCATGAGCGGTGGGTGTCCTGGTCTGCGGTTGGGAAAGGGTCCCACTTCGCCACTTGGAAGCACGTGGCAGTGAAGCTATAGGACTATGATAGCTAAACTTTCTCTACTCACTGATTGCAAGCGAACCACGCCACAGACACGCAACACGCCGCATGACCAAACATATGTCCAGCATGGACAGGTGAAGTACTTGCCCGCTCCCTCTCACGTTCGATTGGGACCTCTGCGATTCCTTGGATGCGTGCAAAGGCAGCGTCTGCTGCAAGGTCTTGATCGCATCAGGTCCTGCAGCGAACGTGTTGGCAATATGCCCAAAATGTGCGACATAAAGTCGCATATCGATGGGCATGCAGCACGTTGCGATAGCGGGCGGAGCCTAACAAGAAAAAAAAATGCACAAAAATGCAAAATGCAAAGGCCGCAATGCTTCAGCTTCACGTCTCACACTTGCGAAGGGGAAGTGGTATGTTCCGCAGCAGCAGACCTGTCTACCCTGCCCATGTATAGCCTCCAAGTCCAAATCGTACAGTCTCGTTACCAAGTAAGCAATTTGGCGCTGATGTACGCGCTAAAGTATAGTTAAGGCAGCGTTTAGACTTCGCGCCCTGACGCTTCGGTCGCGCGTTCGACGCGATCGATGCAGTTGAAAGCATGCGCATCGATCGCGCCGAACGCGCGACCGAAGCGCTGCCGTCGCGAAGTCTGAACGCTGCCTAATCCGTCGCGTAGTCTGAATGCTGCTATAGATCGCGTAATATTGACACGTCAGTGACGGGTCTTCAGACTCACTGGTAACGCTGCATTACAGTTTTCACGTCATTAACATGTTATGTGACGTCAATGGCACGTCATCTCTTAACACTTTACGAACTACGTTACATCTGCTCCAAGAAATTCAATCCACAGTTATCTGCCAACCATTTTTCCGATAGAAGCACATGGTCCAGCATTGCAGAACGAAGGTCTCTCGAGAGGTACGACAACTGTAGAAGAAGCTGAAGGACGAATATCTACGACAGTGGAGCTGAGTGAAGCCCTTTCCGGCGCATTTTATGCCCAGGTATACTTTTGGTAGATTGGACTGTAGTTGCAGACAGATTGTGATGCTATTTGTAGTGGTGGTCGTGCTGACGGCGAGCGGGGGAGGGAAGAGGAGCAGGGTTAAGCAGATGGGATAGGTGAAATGGCGGTGTCAGTGCGACCGGATTCAGCCATTACGTACAACACCCCCCCCCCCTCCCGCCTCTTCTTCCTCCCAATGGCTTTGTCCCGGCGGTGGTGAATCCTGTGCGAACAGTTTCCTTGTGACCAGCCTTGGAGAGACATCCTGCCCAGGTTACGTCCTGCGGTTGAGGCGCCGAGGGCTGTCGGGGGCGGGAGGGGGGGGCTCCGAGGGTGGGGGATTTCCGCAGGGTACGGCCCATCCCTTCAAAGTTCCTACTTCTGGTACAACCCGCTTCCCCCTTCCCCATCATACATGGCATTGTAGGGACAACTCAGGGCAATTCATCTCTGTGTGGAATTTTTTGAGAAGACACCGGCTACCCGACATTCCCGTCCAGCTGCCTGCAAGCAGAATTAAGCAGGCGTACAGCCATTCATTTAAAAGACACATAGTACGACCTCACACACACTGGGCGGCGTTTATCGGCAGCACTATCGAGCCCCCAAGGCTGTAACTATGTCGCTGGCCCCCGCCGGAAACATGCCTCAGCGAATGGCGATACAGCGACGTGGAAAGCACGCAGTGCCTCCATGCTCCGCCTTACACCTTTTTGCGGCGCAGATTCCCGTCCTTCATAACATCCGTTGCAAGCGCGCGTGTCGCGTGCGGCTCCTTGGCACTTTGCCAAGTCCTTTAATTGCGCTCTCAATACAAGGTAAAATGTGCCTGGAATTGCGAGCATAAACATTGGAGGTGCGTACAAAAGTAAGAAAGAAGGCATTGAGATGACGAGGGTCAGAACTTAAAAGCAACTGTGCCACTTCTGCAACATCCCTCGGAGGCCGCGTATTTCCACGAAACATGAAAATAAAACGGCATACTCGTTAGTTTGATACAAGCAAAACGCAATTTCCTGATGCGAATAACTAGGTGTTGCTCATGCTTCAAAATCCATGTACAAGGAGATGAAGATGACACAGGCTAGAAATGAAGCACAACGATGTAAATGTAAACAAAACAAAAATGAAAAAATCAAGGAAAGGCAAATTAGTTAAAATCGCCTGTAAATTTCTACGATCCGGCGCGAATCCGGCGCCAAAGCCATAGAAATACTTGAGATAAACGAGTGGGACGCTTGGCATTCGTTTTATTCTCATGGTTTTTTGGACATGCCGCGGCCGTCCTGATGGATTCTGCCGAAATGCCCAGCAAGTTGCCCTCTTGAGTTCGAACCACTCTGTCATTCATCTTCTGCTTCTGTATTTGTGTAGCAGCTCAATGCTTATCCGCATTCAGGAGCACTGGTGTTTTACCTCGTATTTTGATGGAGGCGCAATTAAAGACTTGGCAAAAAGTGCCCAAGGGAGCCGCAGCGCGACACGTCGCGCTTATCAACAGATGTTATGAGGACGGGAATCTGCGCCGCAAAGGTGTAAGACGGAGCATGGAGGAACTAGCGCGTGTTTCACGGTCCTGTATCTCCATTCCTGGCGCAATGTTTGGGCGGGGGGACCACGACACATCGACAGCTGGGGGGCTGGATAGTCTCATACACCCTCAATGTGTGTTGTTGAAGCGCTACCATGTGTCTTTAAGTTGCGTTTAGAAGTAGATATAGGAGATCGCGCTTATATAGAGTGATCGGGGGGCTGGGGGGGGCGGAGGTGTGTAGAGACCCACATTGTAAGGGTCGTCCTGAGAAATGACAATGAACCGGTAGAACACCAGCGATGAAAAAAGGTCGCCAGATCACCCGTTTTTCCGTCGCTGAGGAGTCTTCAGCGATGAGCCTGGACGACCCTCGACCATTACTGCCTTTGGCGCGAACTCTGGTTTGGAGAAACGAAATAGGGGCCACAGTTCCGCACTGCTAAGCAAAAATAGCGCCTCACTCATACCATTTTTACGCCGCAACTCTCCACAAGAGTTGACAGCGTTCTTAACAAGTTCAGCCTGCTAATTAACGCGGAATCAGCCAATAAGAACTATGCGGTAAGTGCAAATGTTCCCTCTCAAGCCGAGACACAGGTGCTTAAAGTTCAGGGTAGAAGGAAACCATGGATGCAGAATGGAGATCAATTTCAGGAAATCGCACATGATGAAACAGTTGAACTTCAAAAAGCAAGTGTTTGCTGAAATGGATAAATATGCATCTTCAGAGATAATTCTCGCAAGCAGTACGTCAACAATACCTGCATCAGAGTTTACCGAAGGCCTCGAACATCGGTACTGTCGAGTTCTTATACTTTTCGTAATCACTCAACAAAACTCCGCTGGACGCAATTTGGGCGGATGGCAGGACATTTTCGGCACTTTTGCGGCTACTCTCCGCTTTCATAAGGTGCGGTAATTTGAGTGAAAAGCTAGCTGATGCCGACGGCCGGTGGGGGGCGGCATTTTGCACTATTGCAACTTCCATCGACGTGTCGACCTATCTAGACAGCCTCTTCTCGAGTTGACATGATGGCTTGACGACCTTGCTCCAGCTTCACAAGAGTTCACAGGTTTCGCCAGAGTGAGACTTGTAAACCGGAAACTAAGGAAGCAATGATAGTACAGAAATGCCCCCCCCCTTCGCCGAACAGCGCCCACTCCGTGACATTCAGATGCCACACTTTCCACCTTCTTCATAGATGATATCGAAAAGTTCCTCTACAGTGGCTCCTCCCATCACCAGCTGAATCAAGGGGATTGATGGAGTGAAACCCAGAAGAGTCTGAAACGCTTCCTTTTCAGACTTGTTTTGCGCGTGTCCTTCGTTCGCTATCAGCGAAGTCAGTTGAGGTCTGTTGGCGGCGTCTGGGTTTTAGTCCCAGCTCCTTTCTCCACAACTTGCTGAACCGAAGCTGATGGGAAACGGGCTAACACCGCGCCAAAAACTATACCTCGCTGACACGCCCTGACTGACTTTTGTGATAGCGAGTGTGGACTTGTGACGGAGTGTCAAGGGTAGGCAACCTATCAGGCGTTATCGAGACAGGGCACGGCATCGTTGTGTGGAACTCATAGAGGGAGGGTCGAACTCTTCCGCCGTGGAGAGCGGAGGTCGTATTTGGTCGTTGTTGGGAGAGGGAGGGGTCGTATGTGGCTTTGAGAGAAATTTGCCGCGTTGGGAAAAAGTATTTTCCCGGTTGTTGACTTTTCGCATGATTTTCCCTGTCTCATGTGCACCATATGCCCCTCTCCCCACCCCCGCTCGACAGCAAAATTTTTGGGTAAAAGTAAGGAAATTTTCGGGAAATTCCGGAAAAAGTGGTAGGAAGTTGGGGAAAATCTAAGAAATTTTCCCGTTTCACAGTGGCTATATCCCCCTTTTCGCCCCCTCCCCCTCGACGGAAAATTTTGGGTGAAAAACTGGAAAATGTGGGAAATTGGTAGGTAGGTGTTGGGGAAAGGAGGGGGTCGTACCGAGACCCTCATTTAGGTGGGGGGGGGTCGTACCTACACCACCGTTTCACATATCACAATGCTGTACCCTGTGACGAGATACCGTACATATAATGGCGCCCGGAGAAGACATTCGTCCGAGGACAGTCTTGAGTGCGACGGCTTTGGGCAATACTCATTTTTGGCAGAGTAGTTAAAAGCATGGTACAGCATCGTTGGGAGAACTTTATCATGAAAGTCCTCGCTAACAATAAATAAGAGGAGGGGATCATGTTCAACCTTGGAAGACTTCCCTCCCCCCTCTACCATATTAATTTGCTCCCTTTACCCCTTTCTGATAGTTGCTAATTGGGCTCCAATTTCCACAGATCTCAATGCATTGTGGCGCATCCCGTGAATCCACCACTTTATCTCACGCTTGTGGAAATGGTTCCTGCTCCGTGGACAAGTGACCAGACCATTCAAAAAGCATATGAGGTTATGAAAAGCATAGGACAAGTAAGTTCTTCGTTTTGAAGTGTTTATCAAATGAATACAAACAGGGTGCTGCTTTTTAGCTGTTGAAGAAGTAAGGCACCATAATTTGACACCTGGTCAAAACCGTAACCGGGAAAATAACGAAAAGGCGAAGAGAAACGGTCAAAAATCTGCGAGAAATCCTTTGTTTTGCGCAACATAGCACGGATACGGTGACAGGGATCAATTTTGGACGAGCTTTCGTTGGCACGTGCCAACAAGCGCTTCGAACGTGTAGTGACAATACTTACTGCGCACCACACATGACAATTGCAGCAAGCTCCGATACCGGAGCAGTAGAGGCAAAAGGGAGGGGCGCGCGGCGGAAACAGTCCACATTCAACTGGCTGTCTGACTGAGCTGAGGAGTTAGAAAGGGACTGTTCTTTCGCTGCTAAGGCACAAAGAAAGGCTCAGCATATTTGCTAATTGTCCTTTCCCCCTCCTCAAATGTGTTGCAGCCATGGGTGTATCGAGTGGTCACTCACTACCTGTCACACATATCTGGCGCAGTTTGCCGACGGGGAGGGGGCATTTTGCACTTTCGTTGCTTCACTAGTTCTGGTTTACAGTTCACTCTGGTGAAACCTGTGAACTCTTGTGAAGCTGGAGCAAGCTCGTCAAGCCATCATGGTAAAACCTGTCAACTCGAGAAGAGGCTGTCTAGATGTCGACACGTCGATGGGAAGTCGTTAAAGTGCAAAATGTCCCCCCCCCCCGTCGGCAAACAGCGCCGCATATCTGAGCGCGTGATATCCGTTATTAATGACATAAAGCGATCAATCGTGAAGAACGGTGGATATGCAGAAATAAAATAGCATGCCTTTGGTGAGAGCAGAGGTGAGGAAAGGGGTGACGTGTTAATCGAGTGACTGACGCGGACGCAGCGCCCCAATGCACGCGACATCTATCCACCCTTGCTCCATGGAAGTTGTCTAGGCTATCGCGCGCAGCACCAATCAGCCTGACTGTACTTGTTGTTGATAGTCTTATGCTGTTTTTTAGTCGCGGTCACCGTATTTTTATGCCCGCAAAAATGGTCCATGTCGATTTAGATGTATTACCTTGGAGAGGAGGAGGAAGGGAGGGGGGGGGTGGCTTGAAGGCTGATAGATTTTTTTTGAAGTTGAGTATATTTGCTTAATCTCAAACCATTTTTGGGCTAGGACAGGTTAGTAACCGATATAAGACTGCATCCACGAGAGAGTGTCATTTCATTGAGAGGGTATAAGCTAGTGTCGCTACCAGATTTCGCAGTTCC